CCTTTAGAAGTTTTTAAGTCTGTAAAAAGGAAGTTTTTAGAGGAAGAAGAAGTAGTATTTTTTTTTTTTTTTTTTAGACTTTAGAAACTCAGAAGCTGATCAAATATGGGGTTAAATATCGGTGGGGTGGCCGATGTCCGATATTCAGTTTTAAGGCCGATACCGATAGGGGGCCGATTATATTGTGCATCCCTAATAATAACATAACCTAGACCAATTTGATATAAACAGTAGAGTTTTCCCTCGTTTCTCTTTGGAAAAAGTCTCAGTATTTTCATAATCTTTATATCCTGCCCAGCCCTATTCTTAAAGATCAGTGTAGGTATAGGTAGAGTCTGAGTTGACTAATATTGACATCTAGTTTTCTCCTAGGTCTTACCTCCCAATACTAATTTGGACTAGATTTTATTTTGAACATGTTTATTCCCGTTCATGTCCCTTGATTTTTTCCTTTTTTTTTTTTACAATATTGTGTAAAGCAACCACAAACTACAATTTACATTGAAAAACCACGCATGCTATTCAGAGGTTTGTTTATAAAAATCTCAATAGTGTGGTTTGCATTTTCTACTTAAAAAAAAAATGACTTTATTATTGGTTGCCACCTTTGGGGATTCACTACAGATATGATTTAATAAAAAGGCTCAAGATCAGATGGATTAGATGTATTACATCTGTGAACATCAGTTTTCACGGCTATGGACAGATTCTGATTTAGGTCCAGACTTTGACTAGGCCTGTCTAACACTTGAATACTCTAATCTAAATCTTATAGGTCAGGCTTTAATTTTCTAAAGTTGATGTTTTGCTGCAAGATAGGAGTTTATATTCTGGTTTAAACACCATCCATATTACCATCACAAGTGGGCAAACTTGTCTATCCGCGCAGAAAAAAGAAAAAAAAACCCACACAGCATATCTGCATATCTGCAAGATTGGTTTATGCTATTAATTGATAGAAGTTGTAAGAATAAAGGGCTGGTTATCGTCCCGCAGCAGTGTGTCGCAGTGAGCATGATGCAAATATTTTTGATTTATGCTCAATATTGAAGCGTGGTCTGCGCTATGTTATTCCACGCCACAATGCCAGAGGGCCAATCAGGAACTAGCTGTGGGTCTAGATACGGCCGAGGCGGCGAGGAAGTGGGGACAAGTTTGTGCGACAACGGAGGGACATGAGGGCGAAAAAGAGCAGGGATCTAAGTAGAAAAAGGGTTCTTGTGCAAGTTGGTCCAACTTTACGAGTCGTTTTCCACAATGGCGGTCATACAAACAAAACAAGCAGGTAACGTACCAAACAGGAAACATGCATAGTGTAGAGAGGATGTAGATTTGACCAATCAGAGGCCTCCTGTCTGTGACACTGTCTGCGGGCACCTACAATTTTGGAGAGGTGCAGCAGAGTGTCTGTGGAAGGGGGGGGGGCATATCTGTGTTACCTGCGACACACAGAGGACCTGGTTTATGATTATAAATCCGCCTTTAGAAGTAATAATTCTGCTAAAAGGGCACAGTTAATAAATACTCACACCAGCAGTTTTATTTAAAGAGACACACATTTCAAATGTTTTATGCATGCGGATCCGACACCAAGAGGTCACCGATATTCCATGAGTCCATGCTCCTTTTCTGCACTCATGGGTTGGTTCTTATGCATCTCTAGATTCCTGCCTACTCATGTTTGGACATCTCTTGTCAATTTCTGTCACTCTGAGCGTGGAAACACTGAACAAAGTAAACTACCCATGATTGGCTTCTTTTTAGAAAATCCCGCCTCATGAGCAGTGTTGCCAACTTAGCGCTTTTGTTGCTGAATTTAGGGAGCAGTCAGACTTCTCTAGTCAAAAAAGGGACTAGTCCCAAAACTAGCAACTTTTTTCTGTATTAACGGAGACTTGGGAGGCAACACATAAAAGCACCAAACTCTGTCCTGAGCAAGAGGAGTCATAAGCCTGCCTCCTCCTCTCTCCCGCGAATGAGTGTAGAACTAAATTGCTAAATTCTGGGTAATTTCTTTATTTGTTTCTATAAAAGCTATTACTCTTAAAATCCCATTATGACATCATGGAAATGGGGGGATGCCGTAATCCAGCACCTTTCAGGACAGCCAGAAGCTGCTTTTCTCAGGAGGTGGTGGATAGAGCATTGCGCTTTGGGTCCTGGAGGTTCTAAGTTTGACTCTCACAGACGACCACTCAGGGTCCTTGAGCAAGACCCTTAACCTCAGACTGCTCCCCAGGCGCCTCACAGTGGCAGCCATAATAAAATGTAACAAAATAAAGAAAAGACTTTTCTTATTGAGGAATTGGCAACGCTGCTCTTGAGACAGAAAGCTAAATAGGGTTTTCTTCCTTATTGTAGCTATTAATGTTAGCAAAGCATTTTCTAACATTTTAAAGTC